ACTGCGTAACAGGCCGATATCGGCCTGACGTGGTACTTAAGCTTTTTTTTATAACATAAGGTAGCAAACGAGCAAGTGGCCACGTAAATACGCCAAAATGGCGAAGCGACCGCTGCCCATAGACATCCGCAATTGCAGATGCGTTGCCTACCCTTATCCGACAGAGGAGGAGACGCACAAAAAAGGATATTTCCCATTCCTATGCATCTCCTCCTCCGTCAAATCCACTTCCTCTTCCCATCCTTTCCTTATAAGAAAAGGGTGGTAAAGATAAAGGGACTTAAATAAAGACCTCCGGCTCCTAGCTAGCGCGAACGAAGAAAACTATGTCCCTCTCGCTAGTGTGAATCGATTCAGGTATATACATTACATTACATAAAATGTATACATTATGTTTCCACAATTAGAGCAGTTTAATCTATCCTATTGCTGGTGGGTCTAGAAAGACCTGCCAGGCACTGGCGGAAATATCATTGAAGCGAATATAGGCCCGCCGAATTTTGGCATCGTCGCTGTGTATGTCGAACTATTGATAGAGAGCTATTGAAGAGCTTTATCATATGCAGTAAAAAAATCAATACCACAATGTTTATATTATTAAAAATGCGAAAGTTTAGATGGATGGATGTTTGTTAAAGTTTGTAGCCTAAACTTCTGAACGGATTTCAATAAAATTTGGCATAGATGTAGAGCATAGTCTAGAAGAACACATAGGCTACTCAGTTTTGTTTTTTTAATTTCACACGGACGGAGTCGCGGGCAAAACTAGTTAGTAATAGCGAAAGATCATCTTATTTATACGTACATACTTGGAAGGTGACTTATAAAAGTATAATAATTTATAGAATGCATTCGACTGTCAATTTTTTCTATCCAACTTCTAGCATCAGCAAAGGTAGTTAATTAAAGGTAGTAAGTATGTGCAGGATGGCATTGGCTAGTGGAGTGTCATTATCGTAGTATGGTGCGACCTTAAATGGCGTGCAATTTAGCCAATTAACGACGAAGGATAGCCCAAGGTCAAGCATAAGTTATGGATAGTTATAATGATCGAATGGTTTGAATAACAAACATCTCTATTGACGAGATAGGTGTGCAAAAAATTATACATTTTTTATCGAAAGGTACAGTCGCGTAGAACTGTGTAGTGCAATCCACTGTGCAACCCACTTTTTTACGAAAGTACAATCGGGCAAAAAATCAATTCGAAACTGAATTATAAAAAAAACATACAGACGAATTGAGTACCTCCTTTTTTTGGGAAGTCGGTCAAAAATAGCGTAATCCCTTCTTATTTATTACTAGCTTTCGCCCGCGACTGCGTTCGCGTGAAATTAAAAAAATACACAACATGTAGCCTATGTTACTGACTGTCAACGTATCTTTTTAATGGTGAAAGAAATCAGTCAAGATTTTGAAATCAGTCCAGTAGCTTTTGAGTTATTTCATTACAATCAATCAAAGTTATCCTCTTTATAATGTTAGTATAGATATGTACAGCTTTCACCCGCGGTTCCGTCTGCGTGGAATTTAAAAAAATCAAAAGCATATTGCGTATGTATTCTTCCACACTATGCTAGAACAAGATGTCTACATATATGTTAAATTTCGAGATTCCTTCAGCAGTTTAGTCTACAAATACTAACAAACATCCAAACATTTATATTTGTTTTTTAGTATGACTAATTATACCACAGTGTGTAATTGTGTCTGGGATTATATTAACGTATCACAGGATTTTGTACTCTAACATTGATGACGTAAGTATTATATTCATTTTAAAATACGTACGTAGTCAATCCTACCGCCGATATCCTGGGGAAAACCCTGTTCTGTTTACATGCGTTTTATAAAAGCGGTGGCCTATGATTAAACGGTCGCGGTTAATCCAACAGATTTGCACTTTATTCATTAACTAGCTGTTCCGTGCGACTTCAATCGCATGTAATTATGAAAAAAATCGTTTTATTGATTACAATAGTCAAATTCAATTGCAAATGTCAAAATGACATGACATGATGACAAAACATGGCAATTTTGCTTTCCTTGATGTTGGCAGCAACTTATGGTCTCTTTCCCACATTAGGGTTTTTATCCAAAATATTTACCCCTCAAGCTTAATGGCGTGAAAATATATAGCCTATAGCGTAACGCTAGTGTGGGGCTTTTTATTAAAAAAATAACTATTCAAAAATATGCTGTAACTTCTGATATCTTAGGTAACAAAGAAGTGTGTGTCTACGCTTTATTATATTAGTACAGATTGTTACATTTAAATATCATTTATTATTGTAATAACAGACTATGGGTTATTTATAAGACGGAGTGTCTACTTTAATACTATATGAACAAAATTCTATCTGATCAAACTAGTAAAAAATACCCATGGAGTACAAATTTGGAATCTTAAAACAAAAAATTAGGCAGTAATAAGCACATATTAACTTTAACATACTATTTTAATGATTTTTATAAATGTGGTTATTAAAACATCATACGGTACCAAAAACAATCTTGACAAATCTTACTCTTAATAATATTATAAATGCGAAAGTATAGATGGATGTGTGTTAAAGTTTGTAGCTTAAACTTCTGGACAGATCTCGATGAAATTTGACACAGGTATAGAGCATAGTCTGAATGAGCACATAGACCACTTGCTTTTTTTTAATCCACGCGGATGGAGTCGCAGGCGAAAGCTAGTAATATTATAAATGTGAATGTTTAGATGGATGTATCTCGATAAAATTTGGCGTAGATGTAGAGGATATTCTGGAATAACACATAGGCTATTTAATAAGTTATTTTAATCCGTGCAGATAGGTCGCAGGTGAAAGCTTATAAAGTCTTGTACCGAAAGCACTTTGGTAATATGGTTATTATGAAAATGTCGGACACAGATTTAAAACACGTGTTTAACTAAACGATGTTTGTAAATAAATGCTTATTGAAGTTTTTATAAAGCAAATAATAGCATGTATCATTAACAATATATTTTTAATTTCGTAAACCATAACGGTAAGTTGGCTTAACATTTATGGGTACTAGGCCTCATTTTTTAAGTTATATTTCATTAACCACGATATGATCTTGCCACCCACGCCGCGCTGTAATGACTTGCCATATCTAACCTCTGTGCTTAGTACAGTACACAACTAAAGTGTTAAAGAACCGTTATTGTGACATTTGTGACATCTGATGCTTATTACTAATTAAAAATCTCTAAGAGAATGTCTGTCTATTTATTAAAAACGGATACACCAACAATTGTAAACCTATTACAAGAATATTGTATTTTTTTACAAGATTTGAGATCAGACGTAGAGTTATAATAAATCAAGATTTATGTTCTAATCCAAGATAGTTATTCAAGAAGTCAAATATTTTAATACTTTTAATTTTAATAAATTTATTTAAAAATAACAAAAATGTATCACACCACTTGTGTACGCGACTGTACAAAGCTTAATACAGTATCGGAGTGTGCGGAGTTCATGTCCCGCTCAGAGAAAGTTGACAGAGGTTGTGGTAATTATAACTAGCTCGGTGCTTAAGATGTACTTAAGTCAGACGCGTCACAATAGAAATTGTGGACCACTTATTACGTACTATCATACTAAAGTTTTTACCACAATAAAGCAAAGGTCGATTAATAAAGACGTTAAGGGATCTTTTTGTATAATTTAGGAAGGTAAATCTACACTCAAGGTTTATTGGCACACTTAGGGCTTGTCCCATCACTGGCTTAGATAGCTTAAAAATGATGTCACTGTCAGATAAGGGAACAAAATCGGATATTTTCATCTCATATTTTACACGTTGGATTATCAGACAATTTACAATGTGGTGTGACCCGTTGTATTGAAGTTAATATTTATCTTGTTCGCCTAGTTAATCTATTTTTGGATAACTCTCTAACATTTAGAAGAAAATTATACTTTTTAAAGCGTAACATTCAGTAAAAGACTCAAAGAAAATGTAATTAACAATTTTTAAAATATTTGCAACCTTATGGTTTAAGATTGGGAATTTTCAAAATTCTGCATGATAAACTGTTACAAGCGTAGGCACGAGTCTCTGACGAATTAAAAAAATTCAAAAGTAGCCTATGTATTCGTCCAGACTATTCTCTACATCTATGGAAAATATAATCAAGATCTGTTCAACAGTTTAGGACACAAACTCTAACAAACATTCATCCATCCTTCTAAACTTTTATACAAGTAACATTGCATAATTTTTAACAAGGTGAACATTATTATGTTTATATATATTTAAGACGTTCCGTCTTTACTTTACTCGGACTTTTTTAGTTAAATTTTAAATAATAATATCTTGTTTACATCTCAAAAACATCTAGAAAAAGTACATAATTTGAAATGATAAACATTTTTGATCATACTTTGTTTTAGGTTTTCAATCTCTACAACTTTCTTCATACAAGACTGTATAAAACAAACACCTTTCAAAGTTAATTAACAGATTAAATACAATAGTAGATATTTGTTGCACGGTAGGTATCGGTAGGAACCGGTAAATCTACCAATGATTACGTGCTCAAGTTAATTGAGTTGTTAACAGACCGGATGGCGATCGATCCTTTTTCGTTACAGGAATGTGAAACTGAATTATTAATGGTAATAAGGAATTACGTCTTTTTTTAAACTTTTTCACCTATTTCGTTGAGTTACAGATGTATGTTTTTTGCATATTACTAATGAGTGTTGAAATATTTATGATACTATGAATTTAATGCTTGCGGTATTTTATCTACGGACATTCTTTCCATTAAATTGTATTGCAGATTAAATTACTTACAAAATAGACATGTTAAGCAACAAGAGATTTAAAAATAAATATTATTTATCTGTTATACCATTAATTAAAAAAAAATCGTAACCAGCCAGCTAATTGAAACAGGCCACTAATAAATTATGAATAAAATAAAATTTAAATTATAAAATGGCATTTTATAAACGTTGAACAAAATAAAAAAAAACTCACCTAGCATTTTACTCAGATCAGCATTATGAAGATCCGGATTCTCGTCAGCCAGTTTCTTACGCTCCACCTTCGCCCACACCATAAAAGCATTCATAGGTCTTCGTATCCTGGCTTCCTTTAATGCCTTAGCTTGTCCCATCTTCGTCGTAAACGGTGCCCTGGCATATTGCTGTGTGGTGTAATCTCTAGTCGTATCATAAGGGCTTCTATATTCGTATTGAGTTCTATAATCCAGGCCGTAAGGTAATGTTGACCATACAACTAGTTCAGGGCTCGTTTGGTCTTGTGTTGAATCGGTACTATTCTCTACTGCACCCTGCACGTATTGTTCGTATGTCCGATGGTAAGTAGGTGGTGATTCCGCTATCCCTGCTCCCCCGGAATCCATCATACTGGAAACAAGAAAACAAAATAAAATTAGGAATACTGTCAGCAGTTAAAATTATTACAAACTAGCTTTCGTCTGCGACTCCGTCCGCGTGAGTTTAAAAAAAATTGCCTATATGTTCTTCCGTTTCGATCCGTTCAGCAGTTTAGGCTACAAACTCAAACAACCATCCATCCATCTAAACTTTCGCATTTATAATATTAGTAAGTAAGTATGTTTACATCATTAGTCCGAGATAGTAAAAGTTCAAAAAAAGATTCATGTATTTAACTTTTTAATAATCTATTCGCAATTTTCTTTTCTAAATGCTCCTCCTCTTTTCCTACTTTGGGTATGGCAAATATAGATAAATTATAGACAGATGATTCTATTTTAATCTTTTTTTTTTTATTCTTTTTACAGGGGGCTTTGTCGCGAAGCGACGATACCGCCCTATAAATCTTAAACAAACAAAACTTAGCTAACTGACTGTTTTCTTAAACAGATGTCGACCAACATAAACACCATCTCGGCCACAAAGTTTAAACTTTAAGATTAGTGAATATTTCAATACAAAAGAACGTAAAGTAGCGTCTTAAGCATGGTTGAATTCACATATTATTAAAAAACGTACCAGGCTAGTTACCGGGTACAACCTGGGCAGTCTACGTGGAATTCTAAAATTCCATTGGCGTGGTGTCGTTTCGCTCATTACGTCGTATTAGCGTGAACATAACGATGTCAGGAAACGTAAGACGACCTCAACTGCGGTAGAATATTGTAAAGGTGTGCATACACCCGTATCAAATACCATTAGTTTGTAGAAGCGATATCGAATAGAGATCTTGCAAGCTAAATAGCACTTAATAACGCAAGTGTCTATCTCTTTTCCTGGTTTCCTTTGAAATCTATCTCATATAATAAAATTGGAGTGTCTGTTTGTAATATAAAAAAAAACGATTTTTTTTTTCGAATTTCCAGATTTCGGGAAAATGATGTATTTGCGTTGCTGATAACAAAAATAGCATTAAAAATTCCTTTTCTGTATGTCTGTCTACCAGCCGCGTTTGTACCGGGTAATCTCCGAAACGGTTGGACCGATTCCGAGCGGACTTTCACTGAAGGGTAGCTGACATAGACGGGCATAGTATAGGCTACTTGTTTATCTTAATATTTCAAAGTCGCGGGCAACAGCTAGTAGTGAAATAAATCATACACATTAAAAATATTAAAAAATTAGAAACCTCACACAAACTTGAATGGATTTATTATAACGATAGTGTATCCTCAACTTTATCCAGCTTATCAATCGACACCGCCTGCAAGGGGAGAGTTCCGCAAGACTCACCTAGGTGGTAAATTACTTTACAATTATCATTATAACACATTTTATGGACCACCGACATACAACACCACGTGCGCCATCGCACACTTTGCAAACCTATTCAATATTACAATGCGTACATAAGAAGTTTTTATTTTTGTTTGTATTGAAATAACTCAAAAACTACTAGGCCGATTTCAAAATTTCTTTCACCATTAGAAAGCTACAATATCTTTGAATAACATAGGCTACATTTTTAAATTTCATGTCGAAGAAGTCTCGAACGACAGCCATCATACTAATACTATAAATGTGAAAGTTTAGTAGGAAGGATGGATGGATGTTTGTTTGTAGCCTAAACTGCTGAACGGCTTGATGTAGAGGATAGTCTGGAAGAACACATAGGCTTTCGTTTTTTTTTAATTCCACGCGGACGGAGTCGCGTGCGAAAGCTAGTTATTCATAAAGAAGCCCGCATGCATATCATCAAGTGTCGATAAGTGTTTATTGTCTAATTATATATGTTTGGTAATAACAGAAGCATTACAAAAGGTTGAAAAAGATCGTATTGTCAATAAGAGAAAGAAATTGTAACTAGATGAAGCTAGAAATTTTATTTGTCTATATTATTGAAATATGTCTTATAATGTTTCGATCGCATCAAATGAGTTATGGAATGAACGGATTGTTTTTCTGAGATCCCAAAAGTGTATCAAATGAGTCATTCATTAACCAGATTAGCGGTTATTATTGCTACATACATTTCAAGTGATTCCAAATTTAAAAGAAGAAAGGTAGAGGCGCCGGCGCAACCGACACCCGATGTTTCGCAGAACGCCGAACGGCGCCACCGTCGTGTGGGAACTCTTTCATTGTTCTCGCGATTTCACTTGACTCTTTCATCTTCGACACTTATCTACTTTACTGGAAACTTAGATAAGTTGCATATGTGATCCACTTTTTGTTAGAATCAATTACATGTTTTTTTTTGTTATATGCGTCTATTTCTGTTCTGTAGTCCAATTTTAAGGGTATTTTGAACTATCTTAGAACTATATTAACTAAGAACGTAGGAAGGGGAAATAACTCCTTTCGTATCCCCTCCTCTGTCGCTTAAACGTAGCCATCTTTTAACCTATGGCAGGCTTTGGAAGGTTTTGTTCGCTCGTTTGGCCCCTTAATAGTCAGTTGACAACTAACTTTTCTTCAATCAAAGACAATATTACCTCTTACTTCTTATTAATGTTATAAATGCCAAAGTTTAGATAGTTGGATGGATGGATGTGTGTTATACTTATTTCAACGAAACTCGCTCTCTAAACGTCTGAACGGATCACGATAAAATTTGACATAGGTGTAGAACAGTCTGAAAGAACATACATATAGGTTACAAGTTATTAATTCCGTCAGAGTCGATAGCGATGGGTAGTATCTGGTACTATTGCGTTGCTGGTTTTAGTAATTTTTAAATTAGAAATGCACAGACACAATGTGTCTCCAGCCTTATTTCATTTATATCACAAGGAACTAGCAACTGCAGTATATCATATAGTGTCACATAATCTGTGCAAATTATGTGCCATTTAGCACTAAAATAGTCAAGTGTTATAGACTGATTTAATGCTTTACAAGATAATCCTTATGTAAGTACAGGATGATACTAAAGCAAATAAAACACTTGTATGAGAATAAATGTACAATGACTGAACAAACAAATGAATATCTAATGACAACTTTATTTTAACCTATTTACATACTAGCTTTTGCCCACTACTAAAACAAAAGCGAGTAGCCTATTTATTCTTCCAGACTATCCTCTACGTCTGTGCCAAATTTCATCGAGACCCGCTCAGCCGTTTCGACTGCAAACTCTAACAAACATCCATCCATCTAAACTTTCGCATTTATAATATTAGCAAAAAGTTAGATTGACTAGTATACTGCAAAACTATGTGATCAATTACCTATTATACGTTTTTTTCTTCTTCTTGTTACTACATCTTTTACGTCGTACGTTAAGTCTTGGTTGCCAGTGCCTCTTTAACTGTATTCATATTTCGTGACAACCAAAGAGGTTGTCTTACGTAATTATAATTGTTATCTGATATGGCATTTATTTATGTAAATCTATACATTTTAATTAAATTAGAGTGTCTCATTACTATAATCTTTGAATAACGGGTTTGTTCCGGCTAATGTTTAGGATTGAGGGATGTTTGTTAGAGCCTGTAGCCTAAATTGCTGAACGGATCTGGATGGAATTTGGCATAAATGTAGATAATAGTCCGGAAGAAGACATAGACAACTTTTATTTTTTTATATATATTCTACGCGGACGGAATCACGCGCGAAAGTCAGTAATAAAATTTTAATATCTATGCTTTATTTTCAACATTTTCAATCCATTGTG